ATCAGAAGGAAATTTTCCATCAAGGAGATAAATACTCAGAGCTCAAGTCGGAGCACTTTATCAGGTATCGACAAAAAGATAAAAAATAACACGAAAATTACTAAAATAATACTGGTAAATTTCAGTTAGAATGTGGCATAAAAATCTCCAAAACTCGTGATACGTAACGTATAAAAATGCTACTGATGAGTATCCAAATATTACGTCAACGATAAAAGATGTTTGATGTTTACACTATCATGTAGTATCTTCAGAAAACAAACGAACACATAATTAATTTGTTACGCGAAAACAAGAACAATTATAACCCCATGGAACAGTATAGGTATGCATACAGTGTATTTAGTAAACCGTACAGAAAATACTTTTAAATTAATCTATATACCTTTAACTGATGCAGTTAACGGATCTGTGTCAAATCTTATATAATAAAAACATTAAAATGAAATTGTAAACAAAAATTGTACTGTAATTTAAGCTGGAGTGGAATAACATGGCAAAGAAAAAAATTTGATAACGTCCATGGCATTGGAGGATACAGAATTGCAAGTTGCCACAAAGACGGAAAGCGACCGGATTTCAGGACAATTCTAAAAGAATTCGCTTCCTGTATCATCCTTAATCCTTATACTGTACGATCTATTCGCCTAAATATGATAACAACTTCTTATTGATTGTTTTTGTTTTGCTTTTTAAGGTTCCGGATTCAATTTCAGCTCATCCTCATACCCATGAACAAATGCGTATAAAACACATTCCAACAAACTGCATTATTAACTTCCAAATAGCTATAGCTGATTTACTACACGTAGTGACATTTTAAAATGAATTACTCATGACTCCTAACAGTAAATCTGTTTCCCCTTTTGCACCTTCCTACCATGATTTCGTCCTAACATTGAACCTTGAACCTTATTTTTTCTTTTGGTATTCAGTAATTCATGTTCTATAGGTTATTATTCGCGAATTTCTTTTTTCTATTATTCTTGATATTACAGCGCCTTACAGGCAATACAGAACGTTTATTATGGCCATTAAGTCATGGCCTATTTTTCTGTGGTAGACAAATTGCTCCGAAACTCGTCATTTTATTCATAATTTTACCGTAATGAACATTCCGTACATATACATGTACAACTCTATAAACCAAGATATTGAACCATAAGTGGGATGCAAAAAATCAGTGAAATAATTGAACAGCATGGAAGCACCTTTAAAAATAGCTCTGTTCCATGGCGTAGGACTAAATATTGGAAACAGAAAAACTGAAAATAACGCAATTGGACTTTGAATAAGTCGACATTTCTATAATACCTCGATTCGCAGTGCTGTCACCTTTTCCTTTGCGCTTCAGCTCTAAAAACATGTATTTTCAATGTTGTACAGATACAATCTAGATGCACAAAATTGGTTGTTAAAGAAGACTGCAATTTAGAGTGTCGTGTTTTTTTTTCTGGTAATTCCTTCCTTAAATCTGCTATTTTAGGTTCGTCGAAACTGGTCATTTTTCACACGTTTTTGTGTCACCACGTCGTCATGCCTTGGCATCTGCCATATTGAAACCCTAGCTCGGTGACAAACAATCACTTCATTCATTTGGGGTTATGATTAAAACTTCATTTGCATTGATAAGGCTATTATATTTCCTTATTCCGAGTTCTGGCATAACGTTTTCATTTTAAGGAATGAAGAGCTCTTTTCATATGGGCAAAAGAGTTAAGTTCTACATTGTATTTCTTCTTTTGCTTGTTTTGAGTTCACGGATTTTATATTTTACACATTTTGAAATATTAAGTGCTTATTTTGCGTTATATTTAATGAATTATACAGGACGTCATTAAATCTTCCCTGATGTTGGGCTCATTGTGTACTAAAATCAGATAGTGAAAAATTTAACAATTTCATTTTATAACTTAATATAAAAAATTACGTTAAACGGGTTTTCTGTGAAAGCCATTTGCTAAATGAACTACCATACTTAAGTGTAATCACAATGCAAAGCTCTTGTTGAACTTGAACCTTATGACAGGCTAAATGTTCTCTCTCTCGCTCTCTCTCTCGCTCTCTCTCTCTCTCCAATGACATAGTGTCCAGAAAAGGTCGTATGACGCATTCCATTTTAATCACCTCCGTGATTGGACAAAACCATGAACCGTTCATGTACTACAAAATAAAACCCAGGGGCACACTCTGACTGTATATATATCTCCTATAATTAAAGCTGCAAGTACCACAGAATAATACTGTAAACCACACTGCTAGCATAATATTATGGCACTCGGGATCTTTACATTCTCAACACTTTACGCAGCTTTTCACTCCTCCTTATAGCAAGAATGTGAGTGGAAGCCAGAACCCAAACAAACTCGCCATCTCGGTCATTAGACGTTTGTTACGAAAATGTCAATATTGTGACAGTAGCTGCTTGTCACGGAGTCTCCTTTTTGTTTGCCTTGGGCCTCTCGTGAGTTTATCAGAGAGAGAGAGAGAGAGAGAGAGAGAGAGAGAGAGGTGGAGGGAGGAATATTTAAATGAAAACCCATGATTGTAGCTTATCGCAATTAGAACCGATTTCGGCTACCGCGTGCACAATGAATTTTTGAAATTTTGACCACCCGTACGCCACACAATTGATTAACTTTCCATCACATTTTTAGCTCACAGATGTGATTCATATGTATTACTTAATTGTAAGCGACAGTCAGAAGGGAGATTTGGCATGTGCGCTATTTTCTGTGACACATTTTGAAAACTGCTTGGTATTTTTTAATTTTTCTATTTCAAGAGACAAATTATACATATCAAATATCCTTTGACAGTAAATGGTATTTTATCGACCTTACTTCATGTAACTTTTTCAATGACCATTTTACAATATGAATTCTTAACGTTCAAATGTATTTCCATCCATACTTTGTCTTTATAGGGAATTGAATTCCTCTCCACTTTGGGTATGGAACAACCGCATCAATTTAACGAAAAAAAAAAAAGAAACCATCATAAAGCATGATCATTATATACCATCTCGCACGTGAGCTGTTAACTATTGAGAAACGCAGTTTGTTCGTGGTGAAGTGGCACCGCATTGTGGAGTAATTGAGTAAGAAGCGTTCACAGCGCGTTGTACGGACACATCCTACCCCCGACACGCCACACGCAACAAACTATATAATACGCTCAACAACAATTAGAACAATTATAACAAATCTAGATTCATACAGTACGCTTTCCCTGTATCTGGATGACAAGGGGATATTAAGTACTAGTATTCAAACCTTAGCTTTCTTCCCACTGGATTATATGAGAGAGAGAGAGAGAGAGAGAGAGAGAGAGAGAGAGAGTTAAAAAGTACTTAAAATCAAAGGCCATCATTTTGTCTCGGTTGAGTCCACAGTATCGTCACTGATGATAATGTAAGAGAATTTTTTTTTAGAGAAATCAATAAAAAAAGTAGACGCATCACCTCAACGGGCTTTCCGGACACCGTGAACCACGCCGCTCCCCACCTACCGTCACGTCATTAAGACTAGAGAGTGTGGCAGGTATCACGTCCCGTCCCCCGCTGGTGTGTTTGATCAACCCGGTACTGAGAGGACATTATCTCATTACGGCCCAACTGTGATGCCACTGGTCCATAGTGTACGCAGGCACAATGCCTACGCCCGCGTCAAAATACCCAGGCATTTTTTTTTTTTCAGTTTCTTTTTAAAAAAATTATTTGATCAGTGATATTTTAAGGGAAAATGTTGGGAATAAGGTCTAAAATGATACCTTCTTCAAAAGCCCCCGTCGAATTGGTGAAATGTTGTCTGTGTAAACACTGAGCACAAGTGATATACAGATAAATACCACTGATAGTAAATCTAACCTTTTGAATGTTTTTAAGCGGTTCCTTGACTCTGAAACGTACATTCATTCGGTACAACATACAACGAAGAAATACGAAAACTGATTTTAAGATGTATATACATTGCTATCTATCGCTATGTACAAAACACCTACACCTTCAGTATTACTTATAAAAAAAGTACCCATTTTAAACGCCGAATTTTAAAACACTGCTGCGACCCTGACACTGCCCCCTCCCCGCTTTGAGCTGCCCCCTTCGCTCAAGTACACGGGGCTGGGGCCGTAACCCCAATGTTTACGAAACGTCACTTTTATGCGCCCCTTCCCCCGGGCGAAAATCCTCCGAACACAGGGGCGCTTTTCTTTTAGTCCGTTTTTTCGACGTGTTCGACTCAATTTACAAACAGTGGTCTATAGTATATGTGTGAGGACGATTAAAGCTGTTTAAGCTTACTAAGCAATCAATCTTATTCCTTCAACAGAAAACAAGGCTCCCGTGTCAATTACAACAACGAAAGCGGACGATCCGCAGTTCGACTGACACCTATGAGTGCTTAAGCGTGTGATTGACGTATGTCAATTGCGCGGCGTAGTAAGTTAGCTCGCTGCTCAACACAGTCACTGCCTCTTAAAGCTACAGAGTTAACCCACCTTACAAATCGCCTTGAGGTCTGTGATGAAACGCTCTCCCAGCCTATCCGTGAGCTCTGATTGGTCAAGAAGCCACTCTTGTACACGGCTCTCCGAGATTTTGTCAGAGCCACGCGCATGTGGAAACAGAACGACGAGCAGACAGTACAGTTTGGCTTGCCCTGACAATAACCAAACAGTTCCTAACCTGAAATTTGTTTTCTTTTTAGCTTAGACCAGTTTTCCCGCGCTGCTGTGTACATTTTGGGGCGTATTGACAGAGCGCTGGTATCGGTGACTTGGCTCATGACGTTTGAAGGACACCAGCGTAACGCATAGGAAAGGACACTTATCTCTAACTCAGTTCGTGGATGAATCAGGAAGCAAGCCCCCTACTGCCGCGGCGCTCGGTGACATAGGGCGAGCGAGCGTGTATATAAACACGGACTCCGTGGAGGAGAAGCCACAGTCACGGCGAGAGGGTCCAATGGTGTGATCACTCCCACTTTACCACCTGCTAATACTACAATCAACCCACCGCAATGGATATATCCAAATACAGTGTGTATGTTCTACTAATGCTGGGACTATTAACGTGGCCGGGACACGGAGGGAGAAAAAGACAGCATAGGCAAAGGTTACGGCAGAGTAAAACTGTCGTGAACGCAGATAATGACAATGATGACATGGACGTTTCCCCGTCTCAGGATGGAGACAGTCACAGTGGAGATACGAGCACCTCGACAACGAGGTCGGGGCGCAGGAGAACCACCCTCCCCCCTCCCCTAGTCCACGTTAATCCTATAGCACAGATCTCTGAAAGTGTGGAGCACCCTAAACCAGGTAGGCTTCTTACTTACTATGCTCTCAAGTCAACAGAAATTTAGAACAAATATCTATGTATAGGTTATATTGACTGTTGGCCCCTGACGCTTAAAGTCGTAGTTCATGTATAAGTGCGAATATCTGGCAAGTAGGTTTTTTACCTGAGCTTGAATTTGCTAATTATCCTTATTGGATTTGTCAAGAAATAAAACTCTGGTTTAGGGATACCATACGAAAAAGGTTCCCTCTCTGTGGCTCGGTTCATCAAGAACAGGTGATTTCCGCGTGGGTTTCATGGCCCGCCCACACATCCACACTGGCTCACACTCCCTCTCACATCTCTCGGCCTTTACACACGCCATCTGCCTTTGCGTTTAATCTGTATTTGGCGAACACATTATTTTGATTGATACATTAATCGCGGATTCAGCGCGGAGGGAAATAACTCCGTTGCTATACAGGATCTTGGCTAGAGGAACGGGGTCCGGCTTTAGTATTGAATAGGAAGAGATGGGGGAAGGGGGAGGGGGGTATTCTTACCTCAGGTTGAGAACTGTGGGGATAAGTCTCCATATAACATATTGGCGTGTGAGGAGATGCTTACGAAAGAACGTAATAAGCTACGGCGAATGGGACGATTAAAATGAGTTTGACGTGTGATAGAAAACTAACTGCATGAAACAGTGCAAAGTTTACATTTGGTGCATTGACATTTAGGTTTCGTGAGAAGTGTGAGTCACGGTGATATTTAATCGATGTTGGGCATGAAAATATGTGGACTGGAACCATTCTTCGGCATGTACACACATCCACACACACAAACAAATACAGCAGCTGGCCAAGGTTTGTAAATATACCGAGTTTATTTATGGTTTTGGTGACAATTTTTGTGTAACTTGTGAAGGCGACACGAGATGCTGCAGTTTTATTCTCAACACAGTAATGTCTCTTAGTTTTTTGGTATTTCAAGGAAAGGACTTGATGAATATGGTAAACATTATAGACCCAGTGGCTACTTCCAATGATTTGGGAGATTTTTTAGGCACATCTTTGAAAGAAACTGATGTTGTCGACGAAGAGCTAGATCCCTTTTGCATAGTCTTAGGTCTACCAATGACACCCCTAGTTTGAAAAGTTTATCAGAAACTCCTTTCTGTCCCCAGCAGAGCCATGGCAAGTTTTCAGCAATCTCTGAAGCTCAGGGTGGCTTGACATAATTTCGAGTGCATTGTCCAACTCCCATATCCCAAAATGTAGGTATTTTGTTGCCAAATTGTGTTCGAGATCTGTTTAAGAAAGTTAAGCGTGGGAAGCCTGGTGCAGCATTCCTGTGTTGATTAACACAGTGACATTTCTTTAAAAATAAGTATATGTTTGCGTGTGTATAATGTATTTCCTTATTCATTGGAGAAAGGGGTGAAACCAAGCAAAACAAAGTGTACGTGTATAATACACGGCGACTAATCTAAACCAATTCCGTGCAATAAATTGTAAAACCAACGGCTCTGTCACCACAAAAGACAACCTAAACACACGTTCCTAAGTCACGTTGACTTAAAAGAAAATAAATGACCTCAATCTGTTTTAACAGCAAGCACCACCATCTTTCTTCAAATGATATAAATTGCAGTCGCAGTCAAGGCTTTTGAACACCTGTAACGCCCCCTTGCTTCCACCAAACCTGGAAATTACAGAATTCTATGAGAAGTATTTTTTTTTCTTGATAAAATATGCCATTACAATATGTCTTAACAAACTCCACAGATGGGGGTAATTGTCATACGCCTGGCATCCAACGCCGAGTAACACAAAGTAAATTTAATCGGTTAATTTAGACACACTTGAGATAAATGTGATCTAACTTGATAGCCTTTGAAAATTAATACAAATATCAGCGTGAGGGCTGCTCGTGTGATATGAAGTGTAGGGCTGAGCTTGGATCGGTTCTCTAATATGTTAAGTTAGGGCGATTCAATGGCTCTTATCCAGTCGAAGGTGAATTCTATACGGCGAGTAAACATTCAGCCACTGAAATGTTGAATAGAAGCCCCTAATGGGCCTATTTGCGGTATTTTGTTGTCAAAATCTTCGTTTCCTTTACAAACGTATGTCCCTTCCATGGGCTGTACGCGCAAACTTGCGTAGCGTTAGAACAGTGCAGGGTACCCAGGGGGACGGAACTTGTCCCCTGTCTGCATTTCATAGCCAGTTTCTTCTTTTTAATTTCCACATATGCCTACTTGTCTGATAAGCGTGCACATGAGTAGGTTTGAAAATGAAGAAACACCGTACCAGAATCTCTTAGCGTGTGTCAGCACCTTTGCTGCCCGGTTTCTTTAAGTGGCAGACCGCAAATTAGGTTTTTATCCACGAGGAGGCCACCCCCTCTGCGACAAGAGGACGCTTTCGAAAGAACCTAGGTCGAGAGTTTGGCTTGGTTTTGAATACAATTTTTTGGTCAACTTCCATCTTGGGTAAAAAAAAAAAAGAGTTAAGAAACTAGCATTACGCTTAAAAGATTAGTTTCGGGCCTGTGTTACAAAATGGTTGAAAATGACCAAAGTTGCAGTTCGATGGCTTCTTTCATTTAGTGGACTTTTGCACATTTAGAGTGGATAAGAGTATGCCAAACAACATTTTTCTTTTTTTGTATTTTTAAGTTTCAGTTTCAACTTTTCACATTACGAAGCTGTTTAGCACGGCGGAAAAGCACTCTATAACTTGGTGTAGACAATGTTTCATGGCGAATGAGTGAATTGTGGCATAGGGTTTTAATTGCATTGATATCCACCATTTTAAACATCCAACGCTTATGATATGCTTTTTAAAATACGTTGTTCAAAAAAGGAGCAGTACTAATAGTTTATTGCTTATCACAGTCATGTCCTTATCTGTTTCCACGTTTCTTTACCTCATCAATATATATTATATTGTCACATTATTCATCGCTGCCAGAGTACGGGTCGTGTACCAGAGAGTCAACTTGTGTTTTCTCAACGAACCAAGTTAACTATTGGCCTTTTCCGTCACTTTGAGTGCAAACGTGATACCCGAGAAAATGTACAACAAAAGTGTCAGTATATTGCACCCTCCCCCCTACGAACAAGACCCACCACACCTTCCCCGACCCTACATTGTCCTAAGAAGTGACATCCCCTCCCCTCCGGATGAGCGGGGCGGATATGGGGACAAAAAGGACGCGGGTCCCTAACCGTTTTTATACCAGGCGAAGGTAATGAAATACTGGGATGAATGGGGCAGCTAAATGGTGTCACGAAATTAACCCGCCTTCTTATTGCTATAGAAGGGAGTGTGTTTCGTTTGCCTCGGGGCCGGAAAAAAAGCCGTTTAATTTGATCACAACGTACAAGTCACAAAGGCTGTGGCCAAACGATGCTGTGTGTGTGTGTGTGTGTGTGTGTTTGTGTGTGTGTGTGTGTGTTAAAATTCGTGTGTCCATGCGTTTGACTGTTACTGCGTGCGTGCGTGTTGTGTGCGTTTCAGTGCACACTATGCAATGGAGAGATTGATTACAGTCTACAAGAAATACTCTAAACTTTCCTTCGTCCTAAGCATTATTTTGACACACTAAGCAACCTAGCCTTCAACCCCTCTCTGCCACATCAGAGATGGGAAATTTCAGCAAAACCCGACTCACGGGAAACAGCAGCACGTGAGAGGTTACGTAAAGATCAACGATATAGAAAATGAATTCTGCAGCATGCTCACTAAGAGGAATCCAACTAGCGCATGCAGACAAGTACACACATATTCGTAGACACGCACAGTAAAATGAGAACACACACTCTAATACTCACTCAAACACACACACACACGCATACACACAATCACACACATACACACCACGCCAGTGGCACAAACTGTCTCTTTCCATCGCCAAAATGTCGTGCACCCCCGTGTCAACTAGGGCAAGTTATTTTTATTGGAAACTCAGCTTAATGTCACTGAGCTAAAGACAAGCAGATGGTCGCGCCCATAAAACTCCCCGATGAAGCCATTACCTTGACGTTAATGCTACTAGAGAGCCTGTCTAAACGGTACTTAATGTTCCAAACCCCTACTACGTGTTTTGTAGACCGTGTTATTGGTGCACGGTTTAATAGGTGTTGATCCGTTTTGTTGTATATTGTGGCAAAAGACGTGTAAGAACAGGCAGATGTGGTCTCCAACCTTTTTCCTCCTCTCCTCCGCCTCTCTCTCTCTCTCTCTCTCTCTCTCTCTCTCTCTCTCTCTCTCTGTGTGTGTGTGTGTGTGTGTGTGTGTGTGAAGTTGAACTCTTTATCATTTCGACTTGCAGTCCGATTCTTGTCTAGGAAATTGTTTTCTACAATTTGTTAGAGGTTCAAATAAGAGTACATTAAGAAAACTTCATACCATAACAATGTCAGGGCCAGAATGTGTTTTGATCAAGAGATATGAGAAAGTTTCTTCCTAACAGCAGTCATTTGTGTATGGAGCATGGGCTACAATAACATCTCAACGCAAAATACAATCGTTTTTGACGTTTTGTTATCAGTTAGCATGAAAATGTTGCCATTAATCTAGTTCTTTATGTGCGAGAAAAGTAGGAAACAGGTTGCTTGTCTACGGCGCTTGCGAGTCCTCGACCACTGAAGTTACTTATACTGATATTAAACCCAACTGAAAAATAGATACTGTCTGTGTACGAAAAAAATGTCGAACATTGTTAAGTGGTTAGCGAATGAGGATAACAACGATTAAGCCCGGTACCAGTCGCAGGGCTCGCGCGCTGAAATCCGATGAAGTTGCCAAAAAGCAATCCAAACAAGCAATCCAAATTGCACACGTAGTCTAGGTGAGTTCAGGCGACGTCTTTTGACGTCGTTCCCTCAATTTACCGTATTGAAATTCAACGATTTTTAGAGACGCAGATTAAATCGAAGGCTAAGGGGGTGGTTAATTGTACGCGGAAAAGCTTGGCAGGACTTGTGCCACGCCGGAGCAGGCTCGAGGTGAAGGTGCCGTACCAAGAGAGA